GGCATCAATTGGAGTTGTTATGAAGCTTGCAAAGGGTGCAGGGATTGCACTTCGCCCACATCTTTCTGATTTAGTTTGTTGCATGCTGGAAAGTTTGTCAAGCCTTGAAGACCAAGGACTGAATTATGTTGAGGTTTGGAGGAAATTATATGCGTGCTTACTTTAGCATTTTGAAAATGTCTAATGTTTATCTTGTTTTATTTATTCATAATATTTTTCCATTCTCTTCTAGTTGCATGCAGCAAATGTTGGAATACAAACAGAGAAGCTGGAAAGTCTCCGACTTTCAATTGCCAAAGGATCTCCCATGTGGGAAACTCTTGACTTGTGCATAAATGTAGTTGATAGCAAATCATTAGATGGGTTGGTTCCACGCCTTGCTCATCTGGTTCGATCTGGAGTTGGCCTCAACACTAGGTTTTGTATTGCTGTCAAATTTCTTACAATTGTCCTTTTAATTTATGATTTATCATAAGGAATGGCTTGATATTTAGACGTTAGCTAAACCCATTCAATTTTTTCTTGGGAAAAGTTACTAGAAATGTTGAAGGTTACGATTGTTGATGTGGAGGAAATTGTTTTTCCTTGTGTTATCCAAGTTTTTGAGAAATATGTAAAGTAAACTACTTAAACTCTTACCTATTGAAGGAAGCTTTTAGGTTGAGTGACATAGTGTGGTTTCCATGTGAGTTTGGCCTAGCTGTCCAGAGTACGAATCGTGGTACTCACATTTGTTACATTCAATTTTAAGGACGAACATGCAATTTGTCTGTGCTTTGTCTGGTGTTTGCAGCTTTGCATGTAAGGGATGCTTAAGAAGTATATATAAGTTATCAGCTTGTTAACTATTAGTTTAAGTTTTATCTTTTCAATTTAATCAATTAGAAAAATTAGAGGCAGTGCCATGTATTTGGAGGATGCTTCACCCATTGTAGTAATATTGGGGTTGGACTAGGAGTTGGTTTCTAAGTTTCACTTTTTAAAAATGCCATTGCCAATTCATTGGTCTTGAATACCCCTATGATAAGATGATAAGTTTAGCTCAATTATATTTCACTCCTGCAGGGTTGGTGTGGCCACCTTTATTTACTTACTAGTTCAGAAAGTTGGTGTGGATATCAGACCATATACAAGCATGCTATCAAGGCTGTTGTTTCCTGCTGTGAAGGAGGGGAAAAGCACTGCTGCAAAGCGTGCCTTTGCAGCTGCTTTGGCCATTATTTTGAAGTATGCAGCTCCATCTCAGGCCCAAAAGTTGATAGAAGACACTACTGCATTGCATATTGGTGATCGGAATGCTCAAATTTCTTGTGCATTTTTATTGAAAAGCTATTCATCAACGGCTTCAGATGTTTTAAGTGGATATCATGCTGCAATTATTCCAGTTATTTTTATTTCAAGGTATGGATAAACTTTTCTTTGACAATTATTCTTGCATTGGTTGCATGTGCTACTATTTTGTCAATATGCTAGTTTTTCTGTTTTGGAAATTATACATGATATTTTTTTAATTTCCAAAATAATTATCCATTCTAATGTCCAAATGAAATTGTTTTAACTCTTTTTGGGATTTGGAATGTTAACTTCTGTGCAGATTTGAGGATGATAAGCATGTTTCTGGTGTCTTTGCGGAACTGTGGGAAGACAGCTCAAGTGGGGATCGAGTCACGGTGCAGTTGTATTTGGAAGAAATTGTTTCCCTTATTTGTGAGAGCATCACATCATCTTCATGGGCAAGTAAAAAGAAGGTAACTTCTAGACTTTCTTGTTCTCTCATAATCCATTTTTAGCCACATATTGCACATTTGTTCCTTTGTGACTTTTAATCAAATGCTGTTTGTTTATTACTTGCATTTCCAGTCAGCCCAAGCAATTTGCAAGCTTAGTGAGGTTCTTGGTGATTCATTGTCTTCTTATCATCGTGTTCTCCTGGATGCTCTCATGAAGGAAATACCTGGTCGCATATGGGAGGTTGTCTAATTCTTCATTGTGATTATTCACAGTCTATATATGCATTAACTGATTTCTGATTAGGTGAAATCAGTAGGAAACTTGTGAATGTCATCTCAACCTATATAGTTTTACATGCTGCTAACAGCTTCTATATACAGGGAAAGGATGCTCTTTTAGTTGCAATAGGTGCTCTTTGCACATCCTGCCATAAAGCTATTTCTACTGAAGACCACAGTGTTCCAATAGCCATTTTAAGTCTCGTATCTTCTGCATGCACAAAGAAAGTCAAGAAATTTCGTGAAGCATCATTCTCCTGTCTAGATCAGGTAAATATTCTTTTGGCCCAACAAATCCTCAAATGGTGATTCCTGCAAAGATGTATTCTTCTTTCCTCCAAGGATAGGTTGTTGAACTCTTTTGAACCACAAACTCTCAGATAAATTTCATTGAACATGTTACTGAATTTCATTTATTACATCACTCATAGAGTTCTTCTGTTGCTGACATTCTGGTAGTCCTCATGGCTAACAAATTCTGTTTTAGCCTGGTCATGTAAAATGCCTGGAATTTAACTCTTTTACAGTTTCACCTACATCTAAATTTGTATATGCATCTGCCCATTTGCAAATAACGATCAATAACTGAAATATATCCTCAGTCTAGCTTTAGATTTGATTCAATATGTTTCTTTGTATATCTTGACCATGGTAACTGAAATTTTTGACATGTTCTTAGGTAATAGAAGCCTTTGGCGATCCAGAGTTCTTTAATCACGTTTTTCCAATGCTATTGGACATGTGCAACTCAGCATCTGTCAGTAAAACTGGTCAAGCACCTTTGGCAAGTGACACTACAAAAGCAGGTTTGTATGAAAACCATTAATTTTCATGTTTCCCTCACTTCTTCAATGACTATTACACAGTCTTGTATGCAGAATCTGATGATATCGAAGATGTTTCTGTTCCACTTGACAAGGTGATGAATTGCATAACATCTTGTATCCATGTGGCTCGTGTCAATGATATTCTTGAGCAGAAAAAGAACTTGATGCATGTCTTGTTATCTTGCTTGTCACCTGGTTTAACATGGACGGGTATATTCTTCATTCCTATGTATATATTTTTCCCTCTCTTTTAGTTTCGTAAACTTGGCAGCTTTACCAATGAAACTATAATTTACAGTCAAAGTGTCAGCATTTCCTTCAATCAAAGAACTCTGCTTGAGGCTCTACAGTGTTTTGGAGGACTCCAATGAAGCCATTCTACAGGCCAGTGCAACTTGTTTTGTTCAAGAGGTAACTGGACTGGACTGCTAAATGCATATTTATTCAACAGAAGTAGCTGTTTATAATCTGATTAATTCTTTTTGCTATTCCCAGCTGCTCATCGGTGTGGCACCCAAAATAATTGAGTGTATAATTACAATAAAAATTGCTCAGGTACATAATTTCTCTCTATGTTTTGGTTATATATCCATGTTATATTAACTTGCTTAAAAGTCCATTTTAGGTACAATCTCTATCTCTATGGGTTGCATCCATGTATGTGCAAATGCTTTCATGTGAAAGCATCATAAATTTTTAATAATGTTGTCAATGTGAAAAAATTAATTTCTATAATTGGCATAGGCTTTTTGCTCTAACTTAATATAGAGAAGAATAGTTTTGCTGCATCAAATTAGAGTACTGGACAACAGAAGAACGATTAGCCTGCGGGAGAATATCCTTTTGGGTTTTATTTCTTACCCAATTTTGTGTCCATCACATTATGTCCAATCCTAGGTTCATGTTGCTGCATCAGAGTGCCTTCTGGAAATCACCAAGTTATGCAAACATATTTCATCAGTCCACTGGACAGAAACAGGAATAAAAGGCGAGCTTCTAAATCAGATTGAGGCAGAAAAGAATGAGCAGGCGAAGTCATTGTTGAGAAAATGTGTTGAAATCCTTGAAAACTTGGAACAAGCAAATATTCTGGAAACCTGATCAGGATTCTGGAACTGCTCAAGACTATTGTTGTAAGGAAAACTTCCCAGAGTAACTAGAAATGAAAGCATGCACTGAAGAAAGGGCAAAAATGTACGCAGTAGTCTTATACAGAGGAGAGCCACACTGTAGAATGCTGTATCATTAACCCATCCTCTCAAGTATCTTAGGTTCCAGTGTCTTGCTATTGTACAACTCATTGAAAGACAAGAAACATTACCAAAAAAAAAAAGAAAAGAAAAGAAAAGAAAAGAGGCTTAGGTTGGTAAGGTGCATGTTTATTATTCAAATTTCGTCTTCCAATATTTATCACATGGATTATGATTTTCCATGAATTTGTTGTGGTAGGTTTATGATTTGAAAGCTGGTAATATGCAGGAGAGGTTTTTTCGGCTGTTGATCTACATTATAATGTGTGTTTCATATAATCAACCGCCAAAAAATTCGACCCCCGATTGGCTTTCATTTTACTCATTCAATTTGTTGGTTTTCAAAATGGAAATCAGAAACACAACAATGACCCATCTTTTGCAATGAAAATTATAAATATGTTGTATAATTTAAATTGCATAATAATGAACCTATATATGGGTGTATTTTTCCATCAAAAAATTTTGGTTCGGCATGTGAGACTCGAATTTAATCAAAATAATAATTTTTAACTGTGAAACAATTTATCTTCAATGGTATTTTTATACCGTAAAAGAATCATTAAAAATGAATTAAACCCGTCTTTGTAAAAATCACGTTATTAAGTAAACCGTAGTTACCAATTTACCCTTTCTTTTGTTAGAGCCTTCTAGGTAGTAGGATCAAGAACCCGAATGGCAATTCCGTCAGAAAATAATTGTTTACGCCGCTCAAATAAAAAATTAAGGTACCGGCCAAGGAAGACTAATAGTAAAACAAAATCCAAGCGAACAAACAAAACAAATATTGCGAAAAGAAAATGGTTTTATTTAATAAATCATCTATTAACTATTACTCTTTTTTTATTTTAGTATAAATACTTTATTTTCTTTCAAACTCATCTATTAACTTTCAAAACCATTTCATTTTCATCTACCCTACCCAACACAACACTGTTACCCATTTGTTAACCACCGTTAACCATATTGACAGAAGTTTCAGTTTTTAATCGCGTGGTGCCATGCAAGTTACCCTGTAACGCTACATAAGCAAACTGTTGGCCTAAAAAAGGGAGGGAAAATTCCATAGCATTATTACTCTTTAATTTTTTTTTTTTTGGTGGCAGGACCAAATTTCTTGTCTCATTATTTTTCTTTAATTTTTTTTTGCCACTGTTTCCTTTTAGTCTAGATACTTTACTTTCTTTCAAATTTATCTATTAACTTTCAAAATTATTTCATTCTCATCTACTCCACACAACATCGTTAACCATCTAGTTAGCCACCGTTAACCACCATTAACCACATTGATGGAAGTTTATGTTTCAAATTGTGTGGTGCCATGTAAGCAGCTGTGTGGCGCCACGTAAACAAACTATTAAACTAAAAAATGGGAGTGAAAATTCCCGCTTCTTAAGATTAAATATTTTAATATAAAAAAATAGTGATATAATGATAATTTTTTGTATAATTTTTTTTATATAAATAGTGATATAATGATAGTTTTTTATAAAAAAAATAGTCACTTTTGTTTTGATTAAAAGGAAACAGTGGCAAAAAAAATTAAAGAAAAATGATGAGACAAAAAATTTGCTCCTGCCACCCAAAAAAAGAAAAAATTAAAGAGAAACAATGCTGTGGAATTTTCCCTCTCTTTTTTAGGTTAGCAATTTGCTTATGTGGCGTTATAGGGCAACTTATATATATGGCACCACGTGATTAAAAACTAAAACTTCTGTCAATATGGTTAACAGATGGGTAACGGTATTGTGTTGGGTAGATGAAAATGAAATGGTTTTGAAAGTTAATAGATGAGTTTGAAAGAAAATAAAGTATCTAGACTAAAATAAAAAAAAAGTAATAGTTAATAGATGATGTATTAAATAAAGCCATTTTAATTTTTTACATTATAATTAATCAATTTTTTTATAAAAATAATTTAAAAATAATTTTTTATTATTTTTAATATAATTTTATGTGTTATTTAAATAATTAATTTTTTATTTAAAACATATAATATTGAGTATATCTATTTATTTAATAATATATAAAAATTATATAAAAAAATTATACAAAAAATTATCATTATATCACTATTTTTTATATTAAAACATTTAACCTTAAAAAGTGAGAATTTTCCCTCCTATTTTTAAGGTTAGTAGTTTGTTTACGTGGTGCCACACAACAGCTTACATGGTGCCACACAGCAGCTTACATGGTGCCATGCAATTTGAAACATAAACTTCCATCAATGTGGTTAACGGTGGCTAACGGATGGTTAATGGTGTTGTGTGGAGTAGACGAGAATGAAATAATTTTGAAAGTTAATAGATGAGTTTAAAAGAAAGTAAAGCATCTGGACTAAAATGAAAAAAAAAAAGTTAATAGATGATTTATTAAATTAGGCCTTTTATTTCGTAATTAAATAGCTAGGCTCTGTACTTTTATTCAATGTTTGGATACAAATTAGTAAAGGAGAGGAAGGGGAAGGGAGGGAAAGGAAAGGGAGGAGAAGTGAAGAGAAGGAAAACATTGATAGTAGTTTTGTTTGGATAGATGACGGTGAAGGAGATGAAATAATAATATTTTTATTTAATTAAATAATTTAATAAAAAATAAAATAAAAAAGAATAAAATTTTTAAAATTTATTAATTAAATAAATAATTGAAATAAAATATTTATATATTTATTTTATAAAAAAATTTAAAATAAAAATAAGTTAAATAATGTAATCCATTCCAATCCTTTCAAATTAGAAGGATTGAAAACGGAGGAAGGAATGTGGCTCCATCTCCCTCCTTCCATTAAAAGTTTTTATCCAAACAAGAAGAGGGGCTTTCACCCCCTCACTCTTCTATCCTTCCCCTCTAACTTCCTCAATCCAAACAAAGTGTTAGTGTTGTTCTATGAGAGGTGGCTTTAGGATTTTATGATGATTTGAGCTCAACTTCTGTGTCTAAGTTGTTAATCGATGATTAGTATATACTCGCTTCGAAGTGATTGATAGAGGCTGTCTACTAATTTATTGGTGAATTTTCACTGCAAATAGAATTTAGGGTTTGATGAGGAAGGCCTTCAAGCCCACTGGCAAAATCTCTAATGTAAAAGGCCTCCTTACTTGTCGGTGAGGGTTCGAATCTGTGTAACCTATTTCCCCATCCCTTTTCCCCATAGGTTGAGCTGCTTGTTGTGTCTTATCAAAAAAATGAATTTAGGATTTAATTGCTAGGAGCAGCCGCTTCATCTAAAATTGTTGTGGACTGCTCTCAAATGTAGTGGCTATATTGTGATTGGCTCGCAGTTATGAATAGTTTTAAGACTTGGCTGTTATTAGTGTGGTTATTGTTGTGAAATAACCTTTTTATTATTTCAGGCCGAGTCAGATTCATCGAGAAAGTCAACATCTCAGTCAATGCAGAATAAGGCAGTATAGACTCAAACTGGACTTTTTTTTTCTTTTTTCTTTTTTGACTGAAATTTGCAATATACTTTTGAATTGTATCTATTAATAACTAGTGTAACATTCTGACATTTGCACAACAGATAAGGGATTGGCAAGATGCTTGGAATGATGAAGAGATAAAGGAAATGGACAATCAAGATATTGATCTGCATGGTATCTATCACACATGAATGTGCCCTGATAAGAATTTCTTTATTTAGTAAAGTGTGCACTCATACTAATAAGAACATCAGATAAAAATGGTGTGGTTCCAGGCATGTTTTCTGTTAAAAATGGTGGCTCTGGATGGAATTCTTATTTGTCGTCCTTTGCTCCAATTTTAAGGTCAACAGGGGAATGATCACTTTTTTTTGTGCTTGTCATTACCTTAAAGTTTTAGTTATCGTCTTTTTTCCCATATTGGTTTTGACAGATGCATTCTGGGAGAAGCTAAGAGCGGCAGCTGAGAAGAAGGTATGTTTAATGAGTTGCGAACATTCTAACCAGTACTACATACTTCTGGACATAAAAGTTGCACAAGCACGTGGCATTATTTGCCAAAGGTGTGAAAATAGCATTATTCTTGATTTGTCTTCTTTAATATGATTCATAAGAATATAGTTCAACAGGTTGAACATGTGTCTTGATGGTCCCAAGTTTAACAAAGAAAGAACCATGGAAGATCACAGATTAACATTTTTGGAAATAGGTTATGACTCAACATGGTATATTATGGTAGATAGTGCATCATAGGATTTGAAACTTGAATAGATTATGTAGGCCTGCTTTCTACTTAGGGAAACTAAATAACATGTACAAACATACCCTCCAAAAAGTGAAATGAAAAGCAAAAGTATGTAAGCAAATCACCAAATACCAAGTGTGCATAATCATTTGTGCTGCATAATTTATTAGCTAGCATATTACTCGCATAAATTTTTGCTCTAGGTCTTAAGGAACAAAAATGTGCATTTAGAATTAAAACTTATTTTGTCATCAGATAGTTACACTTCTGGAAGAACTAACAATTTGCAAGGATTCTGTGTTTAATGAGCATTTTCAAATAAAATTTTATTTTTTGGTCAGCTGACTCTGCCCTCAGATTTATTCTTCAAATTAGGATGGAAAGCATTGCCATGAATTTTATTTACTTGCTAGTTGGTTTGTGAAGCATGGCTTTCAATGGACTCTGTTAACTAATATTCCTTGCCTTTACTATCATAT